TTTTTTTTACTAAAGAATGGGTGTCAAAATTTTTAAAATCGAATTTTGAGTTGCAGACAGAAAAAATTTTCAACGAAGAGAGTATAACTCACAATATTCCATTGAGATTTCTTTGCTGCTCAACAAAAAGGTACAACAATTCACTGAAAAGTGAAAATATCAAACAGAAATATGCATTAGAAGTTAGTCGAAATGCTCATTCAAAACAGATTTTAATTAAAGTTGAAAATTGTAAATGTCAAGGAAATAGAAATGGAAGGAAACAAGGAAGGAAGTGGAACAAGTTGACCCTTGACCTGAAATACATTTCCAATTTCAGACGACCATCTATTGTTTGGCTTAGGAAGAAAGAATCCATTCCGAGCGGTAACAGTACAGGATACGCTAATTGTCACACTTTTCCCGTCTTTTACAGAGAGTTCAACGGATGAGATGGTACGTGCAGTTTTGAAGGAGTGAAAAGCGCCTTCTCTGCTTACTTGCTTACAAATAAAATGGATTAATTACTGTAAGATAGCGAGAAACGATGGAATTTGGAGGGGGGAAGACTGCTTGATCTTTGATATTAGAAATGAAAACAATTACTCGATTTCTGGAGAAGAGAGCATTCGGTTCATTATTGATGTTGATTTCATTGATTGGAAAATTCTGCTGATCGTATTTATCGAATCTTTAGCAAATGTTTCAACTACCATTGACAACAGATATTTATCAAATTTTCGCAATTTCTCTCCCCAATTTGTTCAAATTTTTTGTCTTTTATCTTTTGTGGCGGATATGCAAAAAACTTCTCACTGATCGTTTTCATTGTCGTTATCATAATGAATGGCTATGCTGGAGAAACTGTTTTATTTTCAATCACAAAACTTTACAATTATTAAAATTTTGCTTGAAAAAAAGTATTTTATTCAATATATCAATGTGTGTATGCTTTCTTATTTATGATAATTAATATATTATTTAGTTTAATCGGAGATTAAATTTATTAACTTTGGTAAATGCACTTTGTTTATTTGATCAAAATTTCTTTTGCTATGCACAGAACTAATGATCGTACGAAATGAATTTTTTTATACATGCTAAAAATGCTGAAATGAGAATGCTGAAAATTTTTTGAAAAAATTCGTTTCTACTACATATTAATTTCATCATAGAGATTTTTTTTTCGCTTTTTTTCTATGGCGAAAGACTAGAAAAGCAAAAGTAATGTTGTATGGAGAAAGTGATATTTATGAATAAATTTGCATATGATTGCGAGATCTGAAACTAATGTGAAAAAAGATTTAAATTAACTTTGGTTTTTCTTTTTTTTTTTCAAAATGACTTATAAAATAATCAATTTGGAAAAATGCATTCATTACATTATTTATTGTTTCCCATCCATAGTTAGTGGTGAAGTCAACGGAGTTTTTTCATTATTTTTCATTATCAGTGATTTAACAGGAATATGTCATCATCTTTTTCTGAACAAGAAAAGATGAATGTTAAGGTTGATTTTTTGACGAGGTATGCTAATAGATGATGGTAATAGCGATGAAGAATTGTTAGATTAAAAAACTCAGGATAGATTAATTTGATAAATAATTATTAATATTGTATTGAATCAAGACATAGTAAATTTAAAATTGAAACAGAAGAATTTCCTCATTGAACTTCTTAATAGAATTCGATTTTAATCACTTGAAATCACTGCATAATAATGTTACTATTCATTTAATTATCAAATCAATAGCTGATAATTCGTAAAGAAAAGTTGTCAACAAATGAATGCGCAAAAATACATTTAGTTATCTCCGCCTCTTTTTAATTTTAAAAGAAATATTGCATACTTTTACCTGCGCATAATATAGGGAAGATATGATCGTATTAAACGATGATAAAGCGATCATTGAAAAAGGTTTGGTTTTGCATGGTTGTAAGCCACCTGTACGAGTGGGTGATGCTGTCATTGCTGTTAATGATAAGCAATTTGACACAACTGAAGATTTGACTCAGGTCTATTATAGTAATCATGTGTTGTTAATTTGAATTTTTGCATTATTTATCCTTCCACAAAAATGCATCTCTCATTAATTGAATTTGGTGGAAGAAAAAAATTAAAATAAAAATGCTGCCTATCAATGCATTTATTAATACTTTCAATAAATTAATCATTTCCAAATTTTATATTAAAAAATCAATTTAACACAGCAAATTTTAGCTGTTAATGCAATCAGCGAAAGCATCTACGAAATTTACCCTCACTGTTAACCGTCAAAAAGGTGAAATTGAAACTGAAAATAAAATTGACCGCTATATAATCGAACTGAAAAAAAGCAATAACAATGAATCATTTGGAATAATTCCAACTGTTGAGCAGGATTGTGTACATTTTTTTTTTTGTGAATCAATTTATTTTGAAAATTTCATTAAGGAATTCTAAAGTTAGAAATTTAGGTTTGATTATTTTTTAAAAGAAAATTAATTATATTGTGCAATTATTTTCAGTTTCAATTTCAACTTTATTGTTAAGTAGTTTTTTTTTGTAAAATTTTAAAAATTTACTTCTTCAAATTTATGAGCTACAAACTAAAATCTACATGTGATGATCAAAATAATTAAAATAGTATATTATGACGTTTCATTGCCAAACTGAAGGCAATATTTTAACTTAACAATTATAACAGTAAATTTTTTTTCATTACAAAATTATTTTTTATTTTGTTTTTTGAACTCATATAATTGAATCAATTTTGATTGAAATTATTAATTGCAATTTTTTCTTTTAAACTAACTTCGCTTCAGATTGTATTTTTCAGGTATTAGTGGAAAAAGTGGATGGAATAGCAGCTGAAGCTGGTGTGAAAGAAAAAGATCACATTAAACGTATTAATGAGGAACCGATACAAACATTGGAAGATTTTCAAAATCTTATTAAAGATCAACAAAAAATTGTCCTGTACATTTCTCGAGGTATAAAAATTGCTAAAAATAAAGTGGAATTTGCAAAAAAGGTTATCATTTATTTTGATAGAATTAAAGAATATTTGAAAAAAAAAAAGCTTACTAAAATTTGGCTTTTTTAATGCACTAACAAAATTCCTTTTCATTTTTTGTACGATAGTTTTAAGTAAAAACTAAATGATTATGTGATATAATATAATAATAATAAATAATTAAAATGGCTAAATGCAATATCTCTGGGAAATATTTCGAGAACAATGGATGAATTCAATTTTTATTATTCATTTCTAAATTCACTTTTGACACAGCTATTAATGTTATTTTTAGGTTATTAGCGTGCATATCCCATATGAGCCCGGAGATATTTTAGGTGTAAAAGTAAAGGATTTAACAGTAGTCGATATACAAAATGGTTCAATTGGTGAAGCAAAATTTGAGGTTAATTAAAAGCAATAAATAATATGTATTGGCGGAAATTTTTAGAAATTAAAAAGCTAAACTTTCTTAATATTTTAATTGAATTCCTTAACAAAACCAATTTTTTACATATTTTCAATTTATTTAACAAAAAA